GAGATAACTTGTGTTGTGATTTGGTTAAATGTAGGTAACACATTTCATACAGTGTAAACTTAATGTGCTTCACACACAGCAAATATGAACAAGATCAAATATAACATGCATACAGTTATTAATCTACTATGCCCAAAAAGTGAGAGAGAGGTAGACAGAGAGAGAGGAGGCCTGAGACGACGTCAGGTAGTCTTAAAGCTGGCTTTTTTAAAAACAGCAGGTTTTGTGATAATTCTTGAGTACATCCAGGGCAGGTTTGTTCCAGAGAGGTGGCCCATTTTTAAATGCCTCCCAGTGGCACCTTCACACAGATATTCGGTCATGATCATGGGTACGGGTTAGGAGACCAGTATCTGATGGTCTGGGTTTCTGTGCAGTAGATTTGTAAGCAGTGAGCGTCCAAGAGATTGTATTGTAGGAGCCAGACCATTAAGTCATTTATTTTATTGGAAGCCAGTGGAGTGCTCTAAGTATAAGAGCAATATGTCCAGTTTTTCTTCCAAGTCAGGCTGTGTTTAATGGAGTTGTCAGTTCAGCGCTTTCACCCTGATAACTTGGTGCTCTGCAGGGCTCTGGAGGCCAGCGCAGAGGAGAACGCAGCGAGAATGAAGAGGAAGAGATGTGAAGCCCAGAGTGAGATGTGCAGTCCTGCAGACTGGATCCGTCAGGACGACTGGCCCGTGGGCATCCGCAATGTTGGCAACACCTGCTGGTTCAGTGCCGTCATCCAGGTGAGAATGACGAGTTACATCCAACTGCAACATTCATATTGTGGAGGTCATTTTTACTTCACAACATCGGCACTATTTGTCAAGCAAATTCACCCATAAAGTCTGTACCTCCTTTGACAGTCACTCAGTTGTAAAAGTGGCTAAAACTGCACATCCTCATTCTGTTGTCCTCCTTTGATAACTCAGTACATGTTTTAGTTTCTGGTCACTGCACCTGCTTTTAAACTGACCTCTCTGGAACACGGTATTTGGATCTCTGCTGTTTTCATACTGTATTTGTTTTGTTGTATTGTTTTTTTTACATTTGTATGTTTTAACTGCAACAATGTGCCTCCTCGTTGCGGCCCAGCGCATGTAAATGATGAATTGGTTCTTAATTGGACTTATCTGTTAAAATAAAGGTAAAATAATATATATTTATATCATATATCTGATTATTTACTTCATATTTTATCGCTTTCCTTTTTGTTTTCTCTTACTTCTGTATATATTATAGTAGTTGTGGTCTGTAATGGAGGATAGGCACCATTGGATGTATAAAAATATTTAAATTCAAAAGTACAAAATTCATAATATGGCTGCAGACCTAAGATACAGTCTGTGAGTTGCACCAGGCTCTGTCTGAGTGCCCACCTGTTCTGTCTCACATCCTTTCCTGCTAAAACTTAAAATAGCTCTCTCACTTGACTTAAAAAGCATTTATGGACTTTGAGTTTCCCTTCCAAGATTTCTAACTTTAGTCTGCGAGAGGTGTTGCGCCTTGTGCACAGTCAGCAAACCAATCTTCACCAATCTTCTGTGATCTTAAAAATCAGTGCACGTGTTTAATTTACTAGTGATGGTCTGTATTTTCTGTCATCTGGTTCAAAATGATGTTTCAATCTCACCTTCTTACCGACTCTATGCCATCCTAACAGAGTTATTAGACACACCAGGAAGACAACAAAAAGG